ACGTGAAAATAAAGAAAGAAAGAAAGATAGAAAGAAAGAAAGAAAAGAAAAGTAAAGTGAGGCACGAAAGAAGAAAGAAAAGATAAAAGAAACAAGAAAGAATAAAGAAAGAAAAAGAAAGAAAAAAAGAAAGAAAGAAAGATAAAGTGAAACACGTAAGAATAAAGAAAGAAAGAAAGAAAGAAAAGAAAGATAAAGAAACACGTAAGAATAAAAAAGAAAGAAAGATAGAAAGAAAGAAAGTAAGAAAAGTAAAGAGGCACGAAAGAAGAAAGAAAGAAAAGAAACACGTAAGAATAAAGAAAGAAAGAAAGAAATAAAGAAAGAAAGAAGAAAGAAAGATAAAGAAAGAAGAAAGAAAGAAAGAAAGAAAGAAAGAAAGATAAAGTGAAACACGTAAGAATAAAGAAAGAAAGAAAGATAGAAAGAAAGAAAGAAAAAAAGAAAGGCAAGAAAAGAAGAAAGAAAGATAAAGCGAAACACGTAAGAATAAAGAAAGAAAGAAAGAAATAAAGAAAGAAAGAAAGATAAAAGGAAACACGAAAGAAAAAAATAAAAAGAAAGAAAGAAAGAAAGAAAGATAAAGGAAACACGTAAGAATAAAGAAAGAAAGAAAGATAGAAAAGGCAAGAAGAAAAGTAAAAAAGAACGAAAGAAGAAAGAAAGATAAAGGAAACACGTAAGAATAAAGAAAAAGAATGAAAGAAATAAAAGAAAGAAAGAAAGATAAAGAAAACACGTAAGAATAAAGAAAGAAAAAAGAAAGAAAAGAAAGAAAGAAAAAAAAGATAAAGTGAAACACGTAAGAATAAAGAAAGAAAGAAAGATAGAAAGAAAGAAAAGAAAAGAAAGTGGAGGCACGAAAGAAGAAAGAAAGATAAAGCGAAACACGTAAGAATAAAGAAAGAAAGAAAGAAATAAATAAAGAAAGATAAAGTGAAACACGTAAGAATAAAGAAAGAAAGAAAGAAAGAAATAAAGAAAGATAAAAATAAAGAAAGAAAAGTAAAGTGAGGCGCGTAAGAAGAAAGAAAGAAAAAAGAAAGAATAACTCATTAGGTGGAAAAATTAAAACAGATAAATAATAACTTGTTAGAATAAAGAACGAACGAATGAAAGAAAGAAAGAAAGAAAGAAAGAAAGAAAGAAAGAATATCGCATTAGGTAGAAAAAGTAAAAAAAAAAGAAAGTGTAATATGTTAGAATACGTAAAAAAAAAAGAGAGATTGGAAGAGCGAACTTGTTAAGAGAAAGAGAGACAAAAAGACTGATTTGTTAGAAGAAAGAAAGAAAGAAAGAAAGATAGAATGATTCACGAAGAGAAGGGAAAACCGAAAAAACAAAAGACATTTAACACGTGAAAAGAAAGACAAAAACAATTTCTACGAATCAATAGAAACTCATTTATAGATGAGAAAGAAAAGCAAACCAGATTGATGTGCCACATAAAGAATCTTTTAAGATTCTAATGAGTAGCGTTCGTAGCAGAATTAGAGCGATAGTCTGGCAAGAACGGTGTGTCTTTCTCCAAGACAATGGTACAAGAAATGTTATTTTTATGATTAAAGCGTCATGAGACGATCGATAGAAGCGGAGAAAGGGTTATAACTATGTTTCATAGATAAGCACAATGGCACTTGATTGGGTGCGACACGAAGCAACACTTGAAATATTAGAAATAAAGCTTGATTTACATCGGAAAGACATTCGACTAATCCATAATCTGTACCAGAAAGAAACAGCTTGCGTGTGGACAGAGAACACGGTTGGCGAATAGGCACGCAAATATAAAGAACTAGAAGGCCTACCAGGATTTATTAGAAAGAGGGACGGATATACTCAGAGAAAGAAAGAAGGAATGGTTTGTTAGAAAGAAGAGGGAAGCATTTATTCAGAGACAGAAAGAGGGAAGGAGTTGTTCAGAGAAAGAAAGAGGGAAGGGTTTATTCAGAGAAAGAAAGAGGGAAGGAATTATTCATAGGAGGAAAAAAGGAAGGATTTGTTCAGATAAAGAAAGAAGGAAGAATTTGTTCAGAGAAGAAAAGAAGGAAGGATTTGTTGCGTGAAAGAAAGAGGGAAAGATTTGTTCAGAGATGAAAAAAGGGAAGGATTTCTTCAGATAAAGAAAGAGAGAAGGATTTGTTCAGAGAAAGAAAGAGGGAAGAATTTTTTCAAAGGAAGAAAAAGTGAAGGATTTCTTCAGAGAAGAAAAAAGGCAATGATTTGTTCAGAAAAAAAGGGAAGCATTTGTTCACAGAAAGAAAACGGAAGCGGAAGTCGTTAGGAGAAAGAAAAAAAAAAGAATAATTTATAAAAAAAAAAAAGGAAGTATAATTCGCTACAAATTTAAGACAGTTTCGCGAAACTGTCATAAATTAAAGAAAAGAGTAATAAGTGAGAAGAAAGAAAGAAAGTAAGAAATTGTTCAGAGAAAAGAAATAAAAAGAAATAACTTTTTAAGAGAAAGATTGCAAGAAGGAACATGTTAATAGAAAAGAAAGAAAGAAAGTACGCGTGTATACGCGTATATGCGTGTGTGTATACACACACACACACACACACACATATATATATATATATATATATATACATATATATATTGAGCTATGGTCAGAAAGGTGTGGTGTGAGTCTTCGTGTCAAACGTAGTATGGTTTATATAATTATTTACACGCTTTTCTTTAAAGAATTAAATACCTTCAAACAAACGTTTATTAATAACGGCTTTCCTAAACAATTGTTGGATTTCCATATTAGGCATTTTCTGTCTAAGGTTGCTAATAGCAACGACGAGAATAGAAACATAAAATATGATATTAATATTTTTTATAAAAATCAGATGAACAAAAATTATAAAAAAGGCGAAACTAGAATTAAGAATATTATAAAAAAAAATGCACAACACCAGTTGACAATAGCAAAAAAATTAGATTAATTATTTATTACAAAAAATTTAAAATCTCTAACCTTATAGTTAAAAATAATAATTCACCACTGAGAATAAAATTGAATATATATATATATATATATATATATATATATATATATATATATATATATATATTTCAAATTAAGCTACAGCTGTACTGAAAACTTAAAGAAAAAAATTAGTAAGAAACATAATGCTAATACCTTGAATAAACACTTATATATATTATTCCAGGATCATGTTCCAACTCATTCAAAATGATCTTCGCCCTCTCTAACCTTCTAACTTTTTGTCCTGGGGTATCAAGGTGCTTCACACGTTTCATGTACAATTTCATTTTTAAGTCGGTGGGGCTAACACAAAACGATTTTAACCTGTTGTATTTCTAGCTGAATAACTCAAAGCGTTTGTCAGTGACTGTTACGACAAATGGTGTCAAAATGGCTAAACGTTTTATCTGAAAACGTTTCAAAAAATGAAACTCAATTAATTTAGTGTTATTTTTTTTAGATATTAAACATTTTGTGGGATGGACAATTATGCTAAAACACGATTTGGACAATTATGCTGTTACACCTGTTATATATATATATATATATATATATATATATATATATATATATATATATATATATATATATATATATATATATATAAATCCGACAATTATTTTTAATTATTTTTATTTTTTTTATATTATTCTTTTATAGATACAAATTTATAAATGTTTGTTTAAAATAAACAGTATTAACGACATTTACTGGCTTGAAATTTCATAGAAAATATACGTCCTCCGACATATTTTCTATGAAAATTTCAGGTCGGTAAATGTTGTTAATTCTGTTTATTATAAACAGAGCATTTACTTCAATATTTTTATCTATAAAAAGAACGTATAAACATAAAAATGTCTTAATATATATATATATATATGTATGTGTGTGTGTGTGTGTGTGTGTGTGTGTGTATATATATATATATATATATATATATATATATATATATATATATATATATATATATCTGGTTTGAAAGAAAACTTGTATTAACCAAGCTTATTATTACAACTTAAAAACCGATGTACGAAATAAAAAAAAAATTCTTGTCTGTCTGTCCCCATAATTTTTCGCTTTAATATGAATCTCATTATATGAAACGAAGTCGTTGAATCAGTCGTGCAAACAAAAGCAAAAAATTAGCCACAGAGTTACACTTGGATTCCTTTTGCGTTTGGGAGTGTTTGTCCTTGCTATATCTGTGGAGCAATTTCGTGAGGTTTTATTTATAAAAATGCAGGGGTGGGGAACTTAGCACTCTTTTTATCCTGACCTATGACATCATCATACTTATTATAAAACCCAGGTTGTGTGTGTGTGTGTGTGTGTGTGTGTGTTTATATATTGATCGGATTTCCTACATTTTTCAACTGATTTCAACAAAACTTCACAGGACTACGTAAAATTACCTTTGCGGTGGTTGATAGCGCCAAAAATTGAAAAAAAACACAATTGTTTTTGCCTGAAATCAATTTGAAAACATGATTAAGAGGCATTAATGAAAAGGGGACAACTCATATCGAGTTATACTTATTATAAAAACCCAGGTTGTGTGTGTGTGTGTGTGTGTGTCCGTTTATATTTGGGATCGGATTTCCTACATTTTTCAACCGATTTGAACAAAACTTCACTTTTTTTTGGCTGGTAGTGTTTCTTATTGTCTTGCACACTTTTTTTCTTTATTTTTACATTCAGAATGCTTTAAAAATTTCATTTACAAGACAATTGTTTATAATAAAATTCTATTGAATCGATAGACTCATAACGATTGAAAACAATGTTTTTATTTGAATTTGGGTTTGACCAATTCGTAAAAAAACAAAAAACAAACAAAACAAAACTAATTAAGACATGCGTGTCCGTAAACCTTAAACAATAATCTTTGTCAATTTTATTTTTCAGTCTTTATGATGGTCGATACTTGATCTATCTCTTACTGTTACATCCCTGGGCAACGCCGGGCTCTACTGCTAGTCAGGTATGAACCTTTTTTTTATGGACGTGAGCGACCGTGACTCTTCATAACATTCTTTCTGCTGTAGCTTTAAGCAAAATTTGCCTCCTTACTCTTCACGGTAGCCGCTGTTCTGTCATCCATCTAGACAAGCTCCCGTCTTGGCGGTTAACTATTTGCCCATAGCTGGGACACAAACAGGTGCTACCACCCTGGATCAGGGTGGACCTGGGAACAAATGACGTCACACATTATGAAATGGACAAAGTCCGATAATTATTTTGAGACATTTTTTTATGTTTCATTCTTTTGTTTACATTTGGATACGCATCGAGCAGATATGTATGTGTAAGAGAAAATCAAGGAGAATTGTAGTTTAAAAACAGTAAAATCGACCTTGCTAACCGAAAACCTCCTCTGTGACTAAATCGGTAAAAACACGTCAGGCTATATGACGGTTCCGTATAGGGTACAGGTTCGATTCCTGTCGGAAGAAGCATATTTCCTATAAAAATTTCTCGGACATTCAGGCCGGTAAATGTCGTTAATACTGTTTATTATAAACAGAGCATTTACTTAAATATTTGTATCTATAAAAAAGAATCTATAAACATAAAAATGTTTTAAAATAATTGTCGGACTTCGTCCATTTCATAATGTGTGACGTCATTTGTTTACATTTTGATACGCATCGAGCAGATATGAATGTACGAGAGAAAATCATGGAGAATTGTAGTTTAAAAACATTAAAATCGACATTGCTAACCGAAACAATCCTCTGTGACTCAATCGGTTAAAAGCACGTCAGGCTATATGACGATCTCGTATATGATACAGGTTCAATTCCTGTCGGAGGGCACATATTTTCTTTGAGATTTCTCGGACATTCAGCCCGGTAAATGTTGTTAATACTGTTTATTGCAAACAGAGCATTTACTTAAATATTTGTATCTATAAAAAAAGAATGTATAACCATAAAAAAGGTCCTAAAATAATTGTCGGACTTTGTCCATTTCATAATATATATATATATATATTGATACGCATTTTGAATCAAGCGGTGTAAGCGTCTTTATTTAAAAAAAGAAAAAAAAAGAAAAAACAAAAGCAAACCAAACAATTCATTAATCAAGTTCGGTCGATGAATATCAAAAGTTTTCTGCATAAAAACATAATTTTCACCATTGCCATTACAATAAATTGGATTCCCGAACAAATCCGTCCTGGGTATGACGATAAACTACATCCACGACCTGGGTAAGACGATAAACTGCATCCGCGTCCTGGCTAAGACGATAAACTACATCCGCGTCCTGGGTAAGACGATAAACTACATCCGCATCCAGGGTAAGAAGATAAACTACATCCGCGTCAAGGGTAAGAAGATAAACTGCATCCCCGTCCTGGGTAAGACGATAAACTACATTCGCGTGCAGGGTAAGACGATAAACTGCATCCGCGTCCGGGTAAGACGATAAACTACATCCGCGTCCTGGGTAAGACGATAAACCGCATTCGCGTCCTGGGTATGACGATAAACTGCATCCGCGTCCAGGGTAAGACGATAAACTCCGCGTCCTGGTAAGACGATAAACATTCGCGTCCTGGGTATGACGGGCGCCCCTGGGTAAGACGATAAACTACATTCGCGTCCAGGGTAAGACGATAAACTGTCCAGCAGCAAGGCCTCTGATCAGGAGGTTTTGAGGAGCGTGGCACCACCTCTTAGTTGCTGATGTTCCCACGTCCACCCTGACCGGGGATGGTAGAACTTGTTAGGGTGACAGCTATGGGTAAATAGTTAACCCCCAAGATGGGGTTAAGACACGATGAAAGTCTAAAAATAGGTTTTAATATCAGAAATAATTGGTAAAAAATTATTACCAGCAATACATTTTTGAAAAAAAAAATACTAGCTTTACATTAAGAAAAAAATAATATCAGCAATAAAAATTTTGTTGGCATTAAATAACCCATTGAGGTTGATAAGCCGTAAAACAAAACAAACTAAACTAGACAAGTTCGTCTCCCGCTTGTTTGCAATCAACCGTGTGCGTGTCATATTCTCCAGGCCCACTTTCCTGATTATGTACCCCAGAAACTTTAACTTTCCCTTCGTAAATAACCAGGTCGGCGTAACCGTCTCTTGCTGAATAATGAATTCGATCCTCACTCAGTGCCTCATACTTAGGGCTTTTTTTGCCGAAAATAAAGCTTAGTAAATAAACCATGGTTGCCTAGGTGTAGTGGTTAGCGAGCAGTTTTTGATTGACTGTTACTAATTAGTAAAAAGTTCAATTCACACTGGGCGCCTAACGCGTGGCCTTGTACCAGGTCTAAGTATAGCTTAGAAAATAGTCCGGAGCGCTTAATCGCGTAGATAATGATTATCGAGTTTGTTTACAACCGAGTCGGGAGTTCGACCCACACTGGAAGCCCTGTACGTGTGGCCTTTATCAAAATTAAGTGTAAGCAAGCAAATAATTTCGAGCACTTAGTCGTGGAGGTAATGATTAGCAAGCTAGTTTGTTTGACCATTATATACAGAGTATGGGGTTAGATCCTCACTGGGTGCCTCCATACGTGTGGACTTGTATCAAAACTAAACGTAGCTTAGCAAATAATTTTAACTGTTTAATCCTGGAGGTAATATTTGCCAGGGTAGTTTTGTTGACCACTAATACGGATTAGTAAGTTTGATTCTCAATGAGCGTTCTAGAATTGTGACCTTCTACCAAAACTAAAGGAAGAAAAAAAACACAAAAATAGCACATTTAATTAGCGTACGGGGTATTACGGAGATACACGAATTTAACCGGAAATGCACGGAAACGCTAGGGTGCTCTACGACATTGGCAAGAATTATGATATCATAGTTTTCTCTGTGATCTTCCCGATGACATCATCTCACAACTTGGTATCTACGCCGATGGCAGAACTATTTACTCTTGTCTCGCCAGTAAGTCTGATCAGTTTGATAAGGTCAAAATGGTAGCTGATATCCAAAACAATATCCAGTCTGCTGTTAACTGGAGCAAGGGACGGCTTGTTAATTTTAACACCTCCAAAACTAAACTGTTCTCTATTAATCATCCGAGAGAACACTCTCCTCCTTTCCTCAGCATGGCTGATGCTAACCCCCAGGAGAGTGACTCGTTACATCTTCTCGGGCTAACGCCATCGGCTGACATGAGGTAGAAAGATTATATTGAATCCATTGTTCAGTCTACTGCTAAGAAAGTTTGTTCACTGTATCGCCTTAAACATTTTTTCTCGCCACACTCTATTTTACATGTTTATAAGTCTACCATTCGTCCATGCTTAGAATATTGCCGTCACATATCTTCCAGTGGTCCTCCTATTTATCTAGAGCTCACTAATAACATCCGAAGAAGAATCAGCAATATTATTGGTCATGATCTGGCAGCTCAGTCACTTTCCCACCGCCGTAAGATTGCCTCTCTGTGTCTTTTCTATAAGAAATTTCATGGTAATTGTTTGGATGAGCTCTTCGCCAAGGTACCTTGAATATTTTTAAAATTTAAGCGCAGTACTAGACTGGCGTCGAGATCTCATCAAATTTACAGTTGAGCTGGTTAGATGTAACCGTAAAGTTCATGCGAAACTTTTCTCGCACTTCTCGCTTGTGGAACTCCCTTCTGGCTCCATGCTTTCCAGTCAACTTTAATCTTCAAAATTTTAAATGTAATGTCAATCGTTATCTGCTCCTGATTCCTCTTCTTTTGTTCTCGCTCCTTAGTAGTAAAGCGTCTGCTTTCTAACGCCTCCGCACCTAGTAATTTCCTGTTGCCATTACCGCAGATAAAAAATAGACCATTCCTGTCTGATTGCAAAGACGGAACTGTGATTGCTTACCTGTGTGCTGCTCATAAAACGGGTGCTGTAAAAAGATACATCAATGGCGCTGTTTAGTTTAGGACAAAGAAAGAAAGAAAGGAATGAATGAATGAATGAATGAATGAATGAATGAATGAAGAAAGAAAGAAAGAAAGAAAGAAAGTAAGAAGAAAGAAAGAAAGGAAAGAAGGAAGAACGAAAGAAAGGAAGAAGAAAGAAAAAGAAGAAGGAAGGAAGGAAGGAAGGAAGGAAGGAAGAAAGAAAGAAAGAAAGAAAGAAGGAAAAGGAAGGAAAGAATGAATGAATGAATGAATGAAGTAAGAAAGAAAGAAAGAAAGTAAGAAGAAAGAAAGGAAGCAAGGAAGGAAGAACGAAAGAAAGGAAGAAGAAAGAAAAAAGAAGAAGAAAGAAAGGAAGGAAGGAAGGAAGAAAGAAAGAAAGAAAGAAAGGAATGAAGGAAGGAATGAATGAATGAAGGAAGGAAGAAAGAAAGAAAGAAAGAAAGAAAGAAAGGAAGGAAGGAAGGAAGGAAAGAAGAAAGGAAGGAAGAAAGAAAGAAAGAAAGAAAGAAAAAAGAAAGGAAGGAAGAACGAAATAAAGAAAGAAAGAAAGAAAGAAAGAAAGGGATGAAGGAAGGAATGAATGAATGAATGAATGAAGGAAGAAAGAAAGAAAAAAGAAAGAAAGAAAGGAATGAAGGAAGGAAGGAAGAAAGAAAGAAAGAAAGAAAGAAAGAAAGAAAGAAAGAAAGGAAGGAAGAAAGAAAAGAAAGAAAGGAAGGAAGGAAGGAAGAAAGGAAGAAAGAAAGAAAGAAAGAAAGGAAGAAAGAAAGAAAAGAAAGGAAGGAAGGAAGGAAGGAAGGAAGGAAGGGAGGAAGAACGAAATAAAGAAAGGAAGGAATGAAGGAATGAATGAATGAATGAAGGAAGGAAGGAAGGAAAAAAGGAAGGAAGAAAGAAAGAAAGGAATGAATGAAGAAAGAAAGAAAGAAAGAAAGAAAGAAAGAAAGGAAGGAAGGAAGGAAGTAAATAAGGAAAGAAGGAAGGAAGAACGAAAGGAAGAAAGAAAGGACCGAAGGTAGGAAAGAACGAAGGAAGAAAGAAAGAAAGAAACAAACAAAGAAAGGAAGGAAGAAACAAAGAAAGAAAGAAAGAAAGGAAGAAAAAATAAAGAAAGGGAAGCAAGAGGAGGCAATAACACTCATGTGTTTAGCGTCTGCTTTACTGAAATGGAAAACCTCGTTAATTTTGAATGATTTTTCATTTGTACCCCCTTACTTCTTTAAGTAATTATGCGTATTCATATTTACAACGAAAATATTAAACATTATTTATTTATTAAATTGTTTATTTACAAGAATTATTTTATATTTACATTTTAAAAAACTACTACAATTGTATTAAGACTAATGCAATACAATACTTATCATTTGACAACCATTACAATAAACAATCTAATAAATAAATAATGTTTGTTATTTTTGTTGTCATTTCTCAAGAAGAAAGCAAATATATAAATTTACTTTCATATGTTTATTTTTTATTAAAATTCTAATCATCGCTTTTAAAAATAATAAACATTGCTGAGGAGTGAAGGTAGTTAAAATAATAGCGGTGTCATGGGAAAAACTGTCCTTTTGACAGTCTGTTTATTTTTTTGGCGGGGAGCATGATGTTTATTTTAGACACATGCCACGGAAGCATTAAAAAATTGGGTAATAACGTTTGTTATAATAAAAAAGGATGAAGGCAAACATGGACCTTAGTGTCTGCCAAAAATGGAGTGTCAAAAGGACGCTTTTTCCCATGACACCGCTTTGATTTTAACTACCTTCATTCTTCGGCAATGTTTATTGTTTTAATAAAGCAATTATTAGAATTGAAATAAAACCTAAATATATGATGAGAGTGTATTTATATTTTATTTTTTTGCTCTTGAGAATTTACAACAAAATATTAAACATTATTTATTTATTAGATTGTTTATTTACAAAAATAATTTTATATTTACAACATTCTAAAAACTAATACAATTAAGAATAATGCAATACAATATTTATCATTTACCAATTTATAAAGAAATAAATATGAAAACAATTTTACTCATAAATGTATAAAACTTTACTAAATTATTAAAATATGTGAACGAACTACAAGGAAATCCTTGGATTTACCATTTTATTAAGTTTATTAAGATGTAAAGATGCTCATTTTTATTCTATTAGAAACTTTTAGCATATGGAGTGTTCACAATAATTCTTGAAACAGTGACTAAAATTAGGAACTTTTAGCAAACTTGGACCTTCATGCCAAAAAAAGAAAAAAAACAGCTTTTCCCTTGACACCACTATTATTTTAACTACCTTCACCCCTCAGCAATGTTTATTGTTTGTTAATATGAAACCTAAACATATGATGAAAGGGAATTTATACATTTTTGTTCTCAAGAATTTACAACAAAAATATTAAACACTATTTATTAGATTCTTAATTTACAAGAATAATTTTATATTTACAACATTCTAAAAACAAATACAATTAAAATGAATGCAATGCAATATCTATCATTTAGCAATTTATAAAGAAATAAATATGAGAACAATTTTTATTCATAAATTTATAAATATTTACTAAATTATTAAAATATGTGAACCAACTCTAAGGAAATCCTTATTATTTACCATTTTATAAAGTTTGAATCGATTGATAATTAGCCAATGTTTTGCCAACCATTCCAATAAATAATATAATAAATAAATAATTTTTGTTTGTTTTTGTTTCCAATTCTCAAGAACATGTAAAGAATCACTTTCATCATATGTTTAGGTTTTATTCCAATTATCACTTTTTACAACAATAAATATTGCTTAAGAATATTTAAAAAAAAAACAAAAAAAAACAGTGTCATGTGAAAAACTGTTCTTTTGACTTTCCGTCTTATTGCGGGTACATTTATCCATGTTTGCCTTTTTCTTTTTTTTTTCATTTTATAGCCATTACTAGCTGAATTACCCACTCCTTGCTGCATGTCATACATTGTTTTGTAAGAAAATGTTGATTGATTTTAAATCATTGTCAAAATTTGTAGAGAAAAATGCTGCATTTCAATATTACTCAATGATCTTCCCAATGTGACCTCCATCTTCTGACTTTCTCCTTCTATATTATTGTTTATTAATATGAAACCTAAACATATGATGAAAGAGGATTTATAAATTTTTTTGTTCTCTGGAATTTACAACAAAAATATTAAACACTATTTATTTATTAGATTGTTTATTTATAAGAATAATTTTATATTTACAACATTCTAAAAACTAATACAATTAAAATTAATGCAATGCAATATCTATCATTTAGCAATTTATAAAGAAATAGATGTGAAAACAATATTTTATTCATAAATTTACTAAATTATTAAAATATGTGAACCAACAATAAGGAAATCCTTATTATTTACCATTTTATAAAGTTCGAATCCGATGTTTTACCAACCATTCCAATAAATTATTATAATAAATAAATAGTATTTGTTATTTCTGTTTCCAATTCTCAAGAACAAAACAAAATGTATAACTTCACTTTCAAATGTTTAGGTTGTATTCTAATATCTAATCATCGCTTTTTGAAACAATTACCATTGCCGAGAGGTGAAGGTAGTTAAAATAATAGCGGTGTCAAGGGAAAAACTATCCTTTTGAGATTCCGTTTTTTTATTTTTATTTATTTATTTATTGCGGAGACGAATGTCAACGTTTGCCGAGGAATGTTCAGTCTGGACGTGCAAACTGATGTGACAGCTGACACAACAAAATAAATAGTCATTTATTTTTCCAGTTCCACTCACCTGAAGATGGCTGGAGTGTACAATAGCCGAAACCTTGTGAATATGAAGATGAGGAGAAGAGACCGAACAATGTAAATACTGTAAATAGTTACAATACCTCATCTCAGAAGTGTACACAGATCATGAAGAAGGCCGGAGAGTACAACTACTGAAACGTTGTGAATACGATAGTAAAGATGAGGACAACAGTCCGAACAATGTAAATCGTCTAAATAGTTAAAATAACTCACCTCAGATTATAGACAAATCCTGAAGAAGACCGGAGCGTACAACGGCCGTAACGCCGTGAATATGACAGTAAAGATGAGGACAACTGTCAGAACAGTATAAATAGTGTAAATAATTACAATACATTATCTCAGAAATATAGACGGACCTGAAGAAGGCCGGAGCGTACAACGGCTGAAACGTCGTGAATGCGACAGTAAAGATGAGGACAACAGTCTGAACATTGTAAATAGTGTAAATAGTTGAAATACCTCATCTCAGGATACTAGACAGATCCTGAAGAGGACCGAAGCGTACAACGGCCGAAACGTTGTGGATATGAAGATGGGGACAAGAGTCCGGACAATGTAAATAGTGTAAATAGTTACAATAACTCTTCTCAGAAATATAAACAGATCCTGAAGAAGGCCGGAGCGTACAACGGCCGAAAAGTTGTGAATTCGACAGTAAAGATGAGGACAAGAGTTTGAACATTGTAAATAGTGTAAATAGTTAAAATACCTCATCTCAGGATACTAGTCAGATCCTGAAGAAGACCGAGGCGTACAACGGCCGAAACGTTGTGGATATAAAAATGAGGACAAGAGTCCGAACAATGTAAATAGTGTTAATAATTACAATAATTCTTCTCAAAAATATGGACAGATCCTGAAGAAGACTGGGGCGTACAACGGCCGAAACGTCGTGATTGTTACAGTAAAGATGAGGACAACAGTCCGAACTATGAAATGTGAAATAGTGCTCATAAAATAAAGAAGGCCGGAGCGTACAACGGCCGAAACGTCGTGATCTCATGAAGAAAATAGTGTAAATAATTACAATAGCTCGAAGAAGGCATATCCTGAATCTCAGAAGGCCGATCCTGAAGCGTACAACGGCCGAAACGTCGTGATTGTTAGAAACATGAGGAAACAGTCCGAACAAAAAATAGTGTAAATAATTACAATAGCTCATCTCAGAAATATAGACAAATCCGGAAGAAGGCCGGAGAGTACAACAGCCGAACAATAAAATAGTGTAAATAATTACAATAGCTCATCTCAGAAATATAGACTGATCCTGAAGAAGACCGGAGCGTACAACGGCCGAAACGTCGTGATTGTTACAGTAAACATGAGGACAACAGTCCGAAATAATTAAATAATAAAGATAGTGTAAATAAACGTTGATTGTTACAATAGCTCAAATAATTACAATAGGATCAAAATTATTGTTACAGTAAAATATATGAGGACAACAGTCCGAATAGAATAGCTCATGATTATAGACAGACATTTACTTTTTTGTACTTTTTATTTCTTTTCGTGGCCGGGTATGTAGTGAAATTTAAATATTATGGAAGCTACCCAAGGTCAAAAAATAATTAAAAAATTTTAACTATCCTATATTATTTACTTTTGTATACTCGAAACTCATAATTTTTTTTTGCGCGGTTAGGGATGGTGGTACTGGGTAAAAACATGATTTTGATACATTTCCCCACTGCGAATTCATTTCTTTAGTTTAATATTCTTTCTGTGTGTACATGATTAATTTGAACACTTTACATTAGCTTTTAATGGCGACAGGCAAAAAAAAAATGGTTTAAATTACCCTTTCACGATGATAGCGTAGTTAATTACATGCCTCCATTAAAACTTTCGACGCCCATTCTCCACCGCCACTGCACAGACATATATATATATATATATATATATATATATATATATATATATATATATATATATATATACGAAGCTTATATTTAAAGTCTGGCTTAAATTACATCAATCTGACACTGACAGAAGCCCCTTGCAATATATGATAACAAAGCCCGTCAGAAATGGCGGCGGAGAAACGGATGTCGCCTAACAAAAAAAAAAAAAAAAAAAAAAAAAAAAAAAAATCTTGTACGCACTTCACTTGAATATATCATGAGCGATACGTGAATCACGAACCCCGGTGTACAATTAGATAACTCGAAAGGAACAACCACAAAGTGAAACCCGATGTTTGGCAAATCTGAGAAAAGATTTACGAGCCTTTAGTAACGTGTTAGAAACAAAGAAAGCAGTACTTGACGTGCTGTTATGTCATATCGTTCCTCCTATATGGCAGTGAATGCTGGACAGTCTTCTTCAAGAGACCCCA